TGGTTACTGCTCTATTGTGTTTTATTTTATGTTGAGACTCGGTAGTGCATCCTCTCTTCTGTCTCCCTGACAAGGAGTGTTGGGGCAGAAGAGCACAGATTTGTCACAGGAAGGGCTGCGAGAAGAGTAACAAAGGAGTGTCAGACCTGAACAGGGGGCAACTCTTCATTTACACCCATTTTCTTTAAAGACAGCCCAAAGAAGGAGGGAGAGGCTGTGAGAACTTGTCTGCCTTCAGGCTGGGGGGAGGGTGTTCCACTTAGGAACAAAACTGCTGCTTATTTCCACGCTTGGTGATGGTGCAACTTCTTTTTCCCTTTCCATAGGAGTGGGTGCAGCTGTAATTGATAACTACCTTTATGTAGTTGGCGGTCACTCGGGGTCGTCCTACCTGAACACCGTGCAGAAGTACGACCCCATCTCGGATACCTGGCTGGACTCTGCTGGGATGATGTACTGTCGCTGCAATTTTGGTTTGACTGCGCTTTGATGAAGAGCAGCACTTGATGGACCCGATGCAAAGGTGGAGCTTGGTCTGCTTGCAAATAAACCCTGCTGGTGGAGGCCATAAGCTGTGTTTTCTGAAGTCGGAAAGTTGGGGGAATGTGCTGACGTGGGGATGGAAACGAGGAAGGATTTGTTTTCTTCCAGTAATTGGCCTTTGTTACTCTAGTGACACGGGCAGAAGGAACGGAGAGCTTATTACCAGCTGGATTTGGATGGCGTCCTGTGAACGGCAGTGGATTTTAGAGAGCACTGGAGATGCCTGGGATACAGTTAGAAAACTCGCTGTGTATCCAACCCTTTCACTTTCTAGAGCTTTTCTCTCTTCCTCCTGCCTACTAAGAAACATGAAGTTTACTGTGCTTGGGGTGAGTGGTGTGTGAGTGCGTGGGATGGCTGGGCAGTTTGCTGATAGGTGTCTGGTTGTGTCTTCATGTGAAGAGAATGCCAGTGCTTCAGAATTATTTTTTTTATGAACAGTAACTAAAGGGCTGCCTTGTTTCTGTATCTCAAGGTTTGTAAATAATAAATGCCACAGTGTGTTGCCTGTACACTCTCCTTTGTTACCCACTTACTGGTAGGAGGGCTGGGATGGTAACTGGTAACTTCTCATGCAAATTTACAAGGCAAGTTTATTGCCTCTTAATGAAACTTTTGGATCTGGTGAAGAGAAATCACATTTTTAACTTTCCCTTATGTTTTCTTTGTGTAGTTAAATGAGTACTAGATTAAATGACTTAATCTTGCTAGTCTGCTGTGTGTTTTCAGTTGGAATGCAAGGAGAAATCCCAACAGTAACGCATTGGAAGACGCTACAGCAGCGTTCATAGCATGATACAAAATAAATACTCAAAAGTGAATCCATCCCATCCTTCTCCCAAGCGCACTCGTGTCCGTATTCCGTCTAACTTCCTTTTTTAAAAGAATGTATGATTGCTTTCTCAGAGTGTTCAGCTATAAAAATGGTGCTACATGTAGGACTTCACGATAAGGCTGTTACTGATTTTTAGTGCAGTATGCATAAAGCATGATTGCTTTGATTGTTCTCGTGGGTTTGTTTCTTATTTGCTTGATACATCTGTGCCTATGAAAACTGTCAGGAATAACCCGATGTACTGAATGAGTTCTACCTTTGTTACACAGTTGTTTGTTGTTTGTTTTGGTTTTTTTTTCCCCAGAAGATCTACTTGTATTGTTCCTATTCTGACAAAAACAGAAATAGGGAGAGAATGGTGAGATCTCCTCTCGGGTTCTTTAGACAGTCTTGCCTTTAACACAGGCTACAGTGAACGGAAAGCACGGGGCACAGGAGCTCATCCCAAGCGTGTGTCCTGCATACCGGAGCGCTGAAGGTCAGTTCCTGTGGTTAACCAGGATCTCAAGGGACAGAGCTTTGTGATAGCCCTGAACTTAGTGAAATTTGGGGCAAAGAAATAGAAAGCGATGCTGTGGGTTACAACCATTACTTAAAATAGATGAGTCAATACGAATTTTAGCTAATTCAGAATGTTTTGGTTTGTCTTCTCATTTTTAACTGGGAATCATGGTTATCTTGAACTTCTGTTTTGATGTCTGTATGTGTGTTGCCAGGCCTGGTACTGAAGAACTTTTCTGCCTCCAGAGTTATTTTACCCTTGTTTTAACATGCTAAGTGAATGTTTGTTTCCCCTTGGTTTTTAAGCCCAGATAGTATTATTTCTGAAGGTGCAATAATATTTGAAATAGTTGCTTTCAAAGCCATTTCTTTGTAAGTACATTAGGTGAAGTTTTTTGAGAGTACTTCGTTTGTTCTAGGTTCCTGCAAAGCCAATTACAGCCGGGCAAACACCGGTGTTCCTTGTCCTTCCACGCGCTAGCGCTCGGATTTTACGCAGTCCAGGAGACGAGGATGTTTTCAGCGTAAAACGTTATTCATAGATAACAGATGTTTGCACAGATTATAAAATCCTGCACGTATTCTTCAAATCTGATAGAATTGAGCAGGACGTTAAAAGCAAATGGAAGTAACAATTTCGGCGTTTTCCACGCAGTTGATTTGACCCATTAAGGATGCTGGTTATCTAGCAATAACAGCGTCATTTGGTGGTTCCAGTGAGTCTGTCGCTAGGACACGAGTGGCTGCCTGGTTGTACGTCGCGTGTTTGTGTGTGGGGAGGAGGAGGAAGGGGAGCAGGTTTGGAGTTGGGTGTTCAGGGAGATGTTTCAGTCTGCTGAGTCGATCGCCTTCTCCTTCTGTTCAGGTAAATGTTGAACGTTTCCATGTGCAGCTTCGCTTTTCAGTCTGTTCCACAGAGGTGCCATTGATTAACATGTTTTTCCAAAATACACCAGAGATAGCGACACTTAACAAACTATTATTAAAATAAGAAAACTTCCTTACTTAAGAGAAGTTTTTGCCTTTTATTGATGGGAAACTTTCCACGTGGTTCGGTATATACCATTCCTTTTAGAGTTTAACTGCAATAGCATTCCATGAACAAAGATGCTCATATGAAGATGTTCTGATTGGATTTATTAGATTTCATAGATTTCATAGATTTCTAGGTTGGAAAAGACCTTAGAGATCATCCAGTCCAACCGTCCCTAATCTCCCATTAAACCATATCCCTAAGTAGTTTATCCACCCTTTTCTTAAACACATCCAGGGATGGGGGAACACTCTTTTCAGCTAGCAGAAAGTGATGCAAGGCATAGAAATCATTTTGACTTCTTCAGAACAAAAAATCCATGGATCAGGTGGTGTTGACGTTTCTATAAACGTTGAAGAACCGTCTTTTGTTTATGGAAGTCAGAGCACTTAAAATTGCAAAAGGTTTTATTCTCTTTACCCAGGCAGTGGCAATTGGGCCATAGAGATCGACCCTGCATCGTGTAATGTAGTGTAGCTAAATTTAAGGTAGCAGCATAAAGGATTTTTTAGTATGCAGGCTTGGGATGAAAAATGGGAAAAATACCTAATGCAACTGTTATTAGATGAACTGTTCAGCTGAAAATGGATCCAACGTTGGATCAACTTCGGGGTCGTGTCACTTAATGTCATGCCACCTTCGTTTTCTGTTCCGGGTGCTTGTGGTCCTGCTCACAGAGTGCTTGGTTACGGGAAGATCAAACTCAACAGTCAGTCCAAATCTGCATTTAAAGAACAATGCTGTCATTGCAATGTCTGTCTTGCAGTTTGAAAATTAAGGACCTTCAAATAAGATGTCATACAACTACAAATTATCATCCAGTTCTATTTCTGAATCACTCAAAATTATCTGTAAAGCACTTTAAAATGGGTATGAGTTTATATGTGTACATACAGTTCCTGAGTTTCTGCTTTTGTGTAGTTAAGATACTCATCTGTAAACTTCTTGACAGTCTCTCCTGCTAGGAATGCTTTTCTTTTAGAAAGGCTGGGTGGAATTTCTGGAGGGGCAAATGTGTCCGGTGTGCTCTACAGTTAACTTTTTCTGGGAGATAGCATGTTACTTTTGTGAATTTGCCATCTGTAAGTCCCCATTCACTATATGAAACAATGCAAATGTCCAAGCTTGCCTTAAATTCTTGATATTTAACTGAAAAGCAAAGAACTGGATGATAATTCCTATTTTTTTGCCTTATGCGCTGTGCTGTATTTTAAACCCAAGGATAACTCTAATTTTTAGCAGGATTTAATAATTGTACAGAGAATACCAAATTGTACTCGGACTTGACCAGAGTGCTTTGGTTGGGAGTATAAAATGATATATGTGGTTTTGTGTACGTAGAGTGTTTTTGTGTATGTCTTTTCTAGCAGCAACCTTCTGGTTTCGTTATTGTTTACAAAAGTGGCAGTTGAGTTTAACAGGAAAATAACTATAACCTGCATTCTCGGTCTTCACTAGCGTTCTCACTCAATGTGTTTGCTCTTGTGATAATGCTCTGTAAGTATTGTTGTAACTATTTCATTGAATGTGAAACAATTTAGTAAATAAACCTGGGGAAAAACTTATTTTTACACTTTTCATTGGGCAGTGGATTTAAATACGCTGTAGTTCTAGTCTTCTGATGCAGTAACATCTTTGGGAGATGTTACTCCATAAGCAGTGATACCTCAACCTGTAAGGTAACAGCTGGAACTCAGGGCAGGTGGAGCAGGAGGATGCTCACCCATCTTGGGGAGGGCTGAGGTGGCTGGAAGACCCTGGCCCCAGTAACCATGTTACTGGGTCTTTACCCCATTGGTATTAGAAGCTCCCATGGAAGAGGGTTTTAGGACGGGGCTTGCTATTTCCCATCTGTCCCTTTAGACATGACTATCATCTCCCTGATGAACCAGTAACCATCGGAGGAACGCACAGATCCTCCTGTTCCTGCATTCCTTGGCAGAAGAGCACACTCCAGATTGCTCCTGGACAAACTGGTCTCTCCTGGTGAAGACGTTAACCTTTTAAGTTACAAGTCGAATTTCCTTGACTGATTAAAATCACTATTTTCATGCATCACTCAACTAACCATTAAGAATATACGTCTCAAAACATTGCTGAAAATTGAAAACTTAAGATGTTTTTACACTAATTCCCCAGCTCATGCTGGTGACCAGTACAAACACAGATAACCCTTCGTAAGGTGCCCTGTCCGAGGTGGCGGTGAGATGCCTCATAGCTGGTGAGGAATGGGACGGCGTTGGCTGGGGAAGGTGGAAGGGAAAAGCAAAGTTTTTCAGTTTCAAAACATAGTTTTTCAGAATAAGTAGAACAGCGTTTAAGGAGAAGGGGAATAGCCCTTTGGTTCTCTGGGGGAGAGGAAAACTGCTGCTTTTCCCCCTCTCACCGAGGCGTTCTCAGCTCGTGTTCTTGGTGGTGCTGTTAGAAATTCAAGTCCTGTGCGTTTTGAAGTGGAAAAATGATATTGCTTTCGGTGATGTTACTCGAGAGTTAGATTCAAGTGCATGCTTGAGTGCTTTATTTAATTGGAGATGGAATTCAAATACCAATAGCTTTGAGCTGCAAATTTGGGTACGTACTTTAGTCCTAAAACCTCCAGACTGCAGAGCAGTTGTTCAGCCCGTTATGAACGTTAGGCTGCAGCAGGTGTTTCACGCTGATGTGGACCTGGCTGAAGGCTCCGGGGAGACCTTATC